CCCTGGGGACGGCCGATGTGCAGCCGGGCAGTGTGTGCCCTGGGGACGGCCGATGTGCAGCCGGGCAGTGTGTGCCCTGGGGACGGCCGATGTGCTCAGCACCGTGTCCCCCGGGCTCCCCTGGGGCAGCAGGTGTCAGCATGGTCGTGTACTACTCCTCCACGCGCACGGCCTGCTTCCGCATCGGGTGCTTGTGTTGCTTCTGCCCCTTGGCTGTTGTGGACAGTGTTGCGTGTGATCATGGGCGCGTGAACATTCAAACCTGCTTCCTCCCAGGCTCGCACATTCCCAGCGGTGTAGTTGCTGAGTCACATGAAACTCCTGTGTTTACGTGTGCGTGTGTGTGTGTGTGTGTGTGCAGGTCCTGGGGCTTAAACTCTGAGCTTTTGTGCTCAAGGCTAGCCCTCTACCACTTGAGCCATAGTTCCACTTGTAGCTTTTTGGTGCATAACTGAAGATGAGTCTCATCAACTCTCCTATCTGGGCTGGCTTCTAACCTCAGCCCTCAGATCTCAGCATCCTGAGTAGTGAGGTTTTGCATTTCCCTAATGACCGTCTTCTTGGCTCCAGCTTTTGGGACTGGGAGAAAGGGGAGAAGCTGGACTACTTCCACAACGGGAACCCTCGCTACACGAGGGTCACCGCCATGGAGTACCTGAACGGCCAGGACTGCTCGCTCCTGCTGACAGCCACAGGTGAGTGGGCCGGGCCGGCCAGACTGCGGGGGTGGGGGGCGCAGATGCGCCATTCTGAGGATGCGGTGCCGGCAGTGGAGGGCAGCAGCACGGTTCCGAGGTCCTGAGGCTCTGTGGCCCTATCGGGCAGGCGCACCTCCCAAGACAGCTGTCATTTAGAAGTGGGTGGTTTGTGCTGCCGAAAGGGGGTGCATACACACGGGCAGTTACAGGGCTTGCTCCCCTCCCCAGCCCTTCCGTGCCCGGTCAGTGCCCTTCAGCCTCTCCTCCCTTCATGGGGGACCCAGGGCCATGGGCATTGCACGGGAAGGATGGAGGATGCCCCAGGTTGACCCTGTGACCCTGGAGGCCTGCTCACCCGCCCTCTCCTCAAGTCCAGGCCACGCTTCCTGAAGGACAGCTGGAAGGGTTACTTCACAGTCATGAGTCTCTCTCTGCTGTTGTTTTCTGTTTCCTGGTTTTCTGGTTTGGGTCTGACATATCCTCGTTTGGCATTCCCTGTGCCACGAGAGTTTCCAAGGCAGTCACCCTAGGTTGGCAGTTGTTTGCTCTTAGTTCTTTTAGAACGAGCTTCTGGGGCTGGGAAGGTGGCTCAGTGGTAGAGCGCTTGCCTTGCAAGCATGAGGCCCTGGGTTCCATTCCTCAGCACCACATAAACAGAAAAAGCTGGAAGTGGCGCTGTGGCTCAAGTGGTAGAGTGCTGGCCTTGAGCTGAAGAGCTGAGGGATAGCGCCCAGGCCCAGAGTTCAAGCCCCATGACTGACCAAAGAAAAAAACATGTTTCTGCCACTGGCTTCCAGCCATGTGGGGTAAAAAGACAGTGCAGTGCAAGTGAGACCAGGCGGGTCCCAGGCCCCTCACCCCAGATCCCCCACACACACACATTCATTCTCAGACTTGCCCCCTCCTCTCTCCTTAGATGACGGCGCCATCAGGGTCTGGAAGAATTTCGCTGATCTGGAAAAAAACCCGGAAATGGTGACTGCCTGGCAGGGGCTCTCAGACATGCTGCCAACAACGCGAGGTGTGCCGGGGCGTCGAGCCCCTCTGGAAGGAGGGCTGTGACCCCGGGAGGTGGGGTCCAGGGCTTCTGGGCCAGCTCCCACTGGCCGTCTGTTCCCCAAATCATCACCCAGCGGCCACAAGAGCACGTCAGCCTCGGGAGCCTGTGCTCCACTGAGCCTCTGCGTGCTACTGAGCCGTGGTCAGTGACGGTGGTAGACCTGTCCCCAGCCTCTGTGTCTGCTATAAAGCCATGTGGGGCTTGGGAAAGCATGGCCCTGGCCAGGCCTGGGGCACTGACATCAGTGCGTGGCCGGGGACCCATGTGTGCTGAGGGCCGTGGCTGGGTGCCCACCTGAGCGTCACTGGTGTCTCCATGGTCCCGCCTGTTCTGGCCATGCTCACCCACTGGCCTGGGCAGGCCTGTAGGTAGTTCTGGAAGAACAGAGCTTTCCAGGAAAGAGCAGCTAAGAACTGGTGGGAAGGGACGCCCTCAGAGCCCCAGAAGCTCTGCGGGGGAAGAAGGGCCGTCTGCTGGCAGCCCTCAGAGCCCCAGAAGCTCTGGGGGGGAAGAAGGGCCGTCTGCTGGCAGCCCTCAGAGCCCCAGAAGCTCTGGAGGGGAAGAAGGGTCGTCTGCTGGGTTCAGGGGTTGGAGGTGCCCCTTGTATCTGTGCGATTGGCCAGAACAAAGCAGCCTACAGCTCCAGGCTGACCCCGCATCGCTTCCTCCACAGGAGCTGGGATGGTAGTGGACTGGGAGCAGGAGACCGGCCTCCTCATGAGCTCTGGCGATGTGCGGATCGTCCGCATCTGGGACACGGACCGCGAGACCAAGGTGCAGGTAGGCATGCTGCACAACGGGCCCCGCACTGCCCTCCGAGACAGAGCCGCTCACCACAGACCGCCAGACCATGGCCTCCCCGCCGGCACAGGGCGGGGAGGAGGAGAGAGGTGGTGCTGCCCACCCAGCACCAGAACCTGCAGCCTCTGGAAGCTGACTACCTCCTGCACACTCATTGGGGTGCCTTTGACCCTGCGTATTAAGCCTATGCTAATCCTAATTATTTTCAAATATTGTTCTATCTGTGCAAATTAGGGAATATCAGAAATCAGTAGGGTGAAATATTTTAAATTGAATGTCTAATTACTTGACTATGCATCATTCTGGGGGGAGGGGGTGCTAGGAATTGAACCAGAGCCTCGTGCATGCTAAGCACATGCTCTACCGCTGAACATTTCTACCCTTAATGCCACTGTCATTTTCAGTTTTAGGAGACAGAGAACACTGGTTTGTTTCTTGTGTTTTGGCCTGTCCTGGGGCTTGAACTCGGGGCCTGGGCACTGTCCCTGAGCTGCTTTTACTTAAGGCTAGCTCTCTGCCACTTGAGCCACAGCGCCACCTCCGGCTTTTTCTGTGTATGTGGTGCTGAGGAATGGAATGGAACCCAGGGCCTCATGCATGCGAGGCGAGCGCTCTACCACTGAGCCACCTTCCCCATCCGAGAACACCGGCTTTGCCTAAGACACCTGACAGAGCGGAGGAGGCTGCAGGCCGCCCTGCCAGGCCCGCGTTGTGCCCGCCTCCTTTGTGCAGGGCCTGACCACAGGCGCCCGGGCCCTGGCTCGGGACACTGTCTTCCTGGATACCTCAGGCACTGCCCTGTGGTGACACCCAGGCAGGAAGGAAGCAGTGTGCTTTGAGCTGGTGTGGTGCCAGCCTGGTCACCCTCCGCTGGTGGAGGCAGAGCAGCACTTCTACCGCCGGGCAGGGGCTCCAGCCCAAAGTGATTCTTCCTGGACTTGTGCCTTCCCCCTCCCCCACCACCCCAGCCCATGACGGTGCCACACAGCTTCCTCCACTCTTTGGGGGAGCCCTGAACCCACAGGAAGTCAGCCTCTCATTTTCTGCTCCATTCCCTGTAAGAGGCCGGGGCCTGGCCAGCGCCCCTGTCTGCAGGCTTGTCCCAGGCCCCTGGCTGCAGTTGGTACAGAGGTGCAGGATGCATCTGGTGCTGGGGGAAGAGCCAGCTGCTCCTCCCACGTCTCTGGCACTCACACAGACCCCGGCTCCGCATCCCATGCGTGTGGATTTCCTCTCCAGGGCCTCGTACGATCGGAGAAGCACTTCCTGTGCTCTCCTGCCCGGCGCTCGGCACTCCTCTGCCCTCCACAGTGGTTCTGGCCGCCGAGGGGCTGGGGCTGTTCCTCGGCTCCTGCCTAGCCTAAAGAAGGTTTTTAAGGGAGAATTAATGAAGGCTCCATGTTGACAAAATATGCTTTGTCTTTCTTTTCAGGAAAGAGGGAGATGTTGTTGGAAAGTTTAATTGGCACTGGGAGCTGGGCGTCCCTGGAGGTGCCCGCAGGCTGCCTGGGCTCCGCTCTGCCTGGTTTGGTTGGTGGCGCAGGTGCTGGGCAGATGCCTCGGCTGGTCGAGGCTGGACAAGTTCTGAGAGGCTCGCCCTGCCCTCTCCCTGCCCTCGCCCCGGCCCGGGCCCCAGCCCCGGGCTCCTGGGTCGGTGACAGCTTCCAGTGGAGACTAAGCCAGCGGGCAGCCTGGGCCAGCAAGGTGTCCGTGAGGTGCTGTGGGCAGCAGTGCGCTGGTCCCTCACCTCTCTCTGTTTGGGTCTAGGACATCCCCACGGGCGCCGACAGCTGCGTGACCAGTCTGTCCTGCGACTCCCACCGCTCGCTCATCGTGGCCGGCCTGGGCGACGGCTCCATCCGCGTCTATGACAGGAGGATGGCGCTCAGCGAATGGTAACTCCCCGCCGTCCCCACCCGGGGCCCCCGGGGCTCCTTCCAGTGGTCAGTGTCACCCCGCCCCAGCCCCGTGAGATGGGTGGCTTCCCTTGGAAGCCCAGAGAGCCCCCCAGCCCTGCACAGCCCAGCCCTGCACAGCCCAGCCCTGCACAGCCCAGCCCTGCACAGCTCAGCCCGGCGCAGCCCAGCCCTGCACAGCCCAGCCCTGCACAGCCCAGCCCTGCACAGCCCAGCCCGGCGCAGCCCAGCCCTGCACAGTTCAGCCCTGTACAGCCCAGCCCTGCACAGCCCAGCCCTGCACAGCCCAGCCCTGCACAGCACAGCCCTGCACAGCACAGCCCTGCACAGCACAGCCCTGCACAGTTCAGCACGGCGCAGCTCATCGCTGTGGTCCAAGGCTTTGCTCCACTCCAGGGCACCCCTCCCTCCTCTGCCTCTGTGAACCTGCCCACAGCTGTCCCAGGACCTGTGAGGCCAAGCCCACCCTGACCCAGCCCCTTCCCCGCAGTCGAGTCATGACGTACCGCGAGCACACGGCCTGGGTGGTGAAGGCGTACCTGCAGAAGCACCCGGAAGGCCACATTGTGAGCGTGAGGTAAGGGGCGGGGCATCCTTCTCCCTCACTTATTTTGGCCTTGGTGTTGAGCACGCTGGAGAGCGCTGATGGTTCTCACTCACCAGCGCCACGCCTCACAGGGCAGAGTGGTTGGGGTGCCGGGCACAGGACTGGCCCAGACACCTGCCCACCGGGGCGCCCTGGCTGGGCCCGGCAGCTCCCTCCCTCACACGGCAGCAGGGCCACGGTGCCCGGGCAGTGGTGGCACCCAGCCAGACATGAGAGCCTCACCCTGGAGCCTCGGTCAGCGCGTAAATTCAGCTCCGCCGGGCGGTAAATACTGCGCTGCGAGCAGCCAATAGTTATTTGCTGCTCAAGGGACGGTGGAATGTAATTTACAGTCACAAAGCCACCATCTCTCAAAGAGATGCTCCTCCCCCCTGGTTTGTGATAGAAAAATAAAACATAGTTCCGGAAGTGCGCGGGGGAGAGGCAGCTGCTTCACGTGGGCTCCCGCGCGGGGTGGGGCCAGACACGGGCCAGAGTGCTCCGGGCAGCACCACACGAGCCTTTTCTGGCTTGAGGGCAAGAAGTTGGAGGGGGGGCCTGTGTGTCCGTGGGCACTACGAGGCCCGCAGAGGCGTGCGGGGTCAGCAGGAATCAGACTTGCCAGGGCCAGGGCCCTCACACCGGGGTCTCCGTGGCCTCTTCTAGTGTCAATGGCGACGTGCGCTTCTTTGACCCTCGGATGCCGGAGTCTGTGAACGTGCTGCAGATTGTAAAGGGGCTGACAGCCCTGGACATTCACCCCCAGGCAAACCTGATCGCATGGTAGGTGCCTGGCGCCCGGCCCCGCCCCGCCCCGCCCCGCGCCAGACCCTCCCCGAGCACCTGAAGTTGCTGTGGCTCAGCCTTCTCTCCCCACTCCCTCGTGCCCCTTGATGGAGAACAAGCTGGAGGGTTTAATTATGTTAGCAGAAAAGGAAAGGCCTCTTCCCACTGCCTGCCCCTCCCTCCCTGAGCCAACGTCCCAACGTGGGGCCCCTCCTGCCCACAGCCCACCCACCCCACCCACCCCCGTCCACCCCCATGCCGGGCCTCTCCCTCCCTAAGCCACTGTCCCTGACGCTGGGGCACCTCCCACCCACAACCCCCCGCCTCCTGACGCCGCAACCTCCCACCTACAGCCCCCCCCCACGCCGGG